CTATACTTGCTAAAATTACTACGGAACTAAGTAACAAACTAATTTAACTCTAAACTATCATGGTTCCAGAGGGCAAACTGAGTAATTCCCAAACTACGTAATTTAACTCTAAATTATTTTAACTCCATATCGGTCAACAGTTAAGTTAACAGTTAAGAGAACAGCGTACTTGATATATTTAGGGAGTGTATTTCAAGAAAGAGATAATGATTCACGTTTTCTTAGCAATGGAAGAATTATTTACGAATTATTATTGGATAAAGCAGCTAACTCATCGAATCTCGACTACATCAGCTTGCCTCTATACTTTTCAGTTCAAAAGAAACTGGAACAACAAATGGAAATCCTCGTGCGAATTTTTTTGGCTAATATCAATCAAAAATGAATTTTTTTTAAGAAGACAATTGCTCGTTCTCTACACGACTAAATTACAATCTCAAGGATTGTGATTTGTGCATAGTTCAATTGGTAGTCGAACATATTATTGTCCAATGCAGAAAATATACATCAACTAAACACAAGTCCTTCCCTGACTAATAACATTTAAAACAGAGTTAGCTAACTGGCGGTCCGCGATCCTTTGCCCCTTCTTTCCTGATCGCCAGCGCTACCCCCCTCCACTGCATCTCTCCACTTGTTTAGTGGTGGGGGTAGGAGCAAGGGCTCGCGAACCGCCAGTTAGCCATCTCTGACCAAAAGAATAAAGAAGCGGTCCTAAAACTAATACACTTTCCAAGACAATCTTTATAATAAACCTTCATAATAAATACCTTTATAAGATATCTAACCTTTATAATATTATGTAAGATTTACTTCCAACTCGCTAATAACCTACTCAGGTGGACTATAAATAATGAAAATTAAAAGAAGAAAGAATTATTACTCAACGCCATCTCTGACCAAAAGAATAAAGAAGCGGTCCTAAAACTAATACACTTTCCAAGACATCTTTATAATAAACCTTCATAATAAATACCTTTATAAGATATCTAACCTTTATAATATTATGTAAGATTTGCTTCCAAGTCGATAATAACCCACTCAGGCGGACTATAAATAATGAAAATTAAAAGAAGAAAGAATTATTACTCAACGCCAGCTCTGACCAAAAGAATAAAGAAGCGGTCCTAAAACTAATACACTTTCCAAGACAATCTTTATAATAAACCTTCATAATAAATACCTTTATAAGATATCTAACCTTTATAATATTATGTAAGATTTACTTCCGAGTCGATAATAACCCACTCAGGCGGACTATAAATAATGAAAATTAAAAGAAGAAGAATTATTACTCAACGGCAAAAGGATGCATTACGCGAGACGAGTTTCGGAGGAACGTCTTCGTTGAAGACGAAGCTTTCTTCCCTCGAGTCTCACAAAGGAGTATTCTCTGATTCCAATATTTTGCTACCGTCAGCAGGGAAACGTTCAGCAGGAAAACACCGTCGTTCTGTCCTATTTTCGTCGAGATTAAACGCAAAGGCAACAGCCGAGGATGATCGAGCAGCTAGAAGATTTCTTCGGAAGCCTTCGGAGCCTTTTCCAACCGAGCAGCGGTTGCGTGCTCGTCGTGCATTAATTACCTTAATTGGAAGCGAGATCCGCACGGTAGCCATGTATGCGTACACCGTCGCAGAAATCATAATTTATTAAGGCAAATGGATTAGCATTCCGGGATAGGAAAGGTATGGCGGGAGCCTTGAACACGCTAATTCCCCTGGATGATAGCTTCAATCCCGAATTTAGCTTTTAACTCTCGCGAGGTGGTTCGCGTTATCGATCTTCGTGAAATTTTCCCTCTGTGTAACAGAGGAAAGGAGGATTCCGAATTAGAAGTCGTTCTATTCAACTGTTTCTATTTGCATTTTGATGCGACGGCCTTCGCTTCAGTAGCTTCAATAGTCTTTGTAATAATAATTTTATTAGTTATTGTTCTAATCAGTTTCATAGCATTTGCAGTAATTTCATTGGTATTAATATATTAGTAACTTTAATGGTATTTGTGTTACGTGTAGAATGAAGTTGACAGACAATCTGTTTAATTTAATTGATTTGACAAATTCACTTGCAGATACTTTTAAATTATTGCACAAAAATTCAATCTATTACAAATCACACGTTATATTATATTATACTATTGTATATTCTATATTATTATAAATCATTATACTATAAATTATTATGTATTCTATTTAATTATTACGTGTCATTTAGTGTTATATTATATTATGTATATTATATTATAAATGTGCTACGTTATTATTAGTTAAATAAAGTTAAGTCAAACAACAGTGTTGTGCTTGATAGAATTCTTGCATTCTCAAAGAACACTATGTTTTTCACTTTTCTTCGTGGATTCTTTCCTGAGATATGAAATGATCGTTCTAACAAAAATGTGCAAATTCTGTGTTAAGTGTACAATCGTGCTCGAATCGAATCGATAAAAAATCACCCGCGGTTATGCGAGAATTGGAGATCGAACACAATAATGGCGCCCGCGAACCTGGCTCCTGGCATAATTTTCCCTTTGTGCGTGCAGTCTGTATTATTTTACACAACGAAATCTAGATGTGTATGTGTGTGTATGCGGAGAACGCTCGAGATACAAGGTGTTCTGGAAATATTGACCGCAATTTTCCGGGGCTATTTCGGTAATCCCATTCACACGTGGATATGTTGCGTAAATAGAGATTTATAGACCTTTATCGAGCCACCTTTTCGAATCAGAGCTGGCTGGCCTTAATTTAGTTGAATGCAGCTTACCTTAGCTGTGAATCACTTTGACAGATAAACACGATATAAATGTACCGTGTATCTAATTTATAAATAAATGGGAGGATTTACGTGATTTACTGGAGAAATTTTTGGAAAAGCAAGATTTCATTTAATCGAAAATAAATGGAAGATGCTTTCGTTAGAGATAAGAAAGATGTAGCTCGAGAGCAAATTTTAGTTTGAATTGAAAAGTAACAGTTTGAAATAATCATTGTTTCAACTAATTTATTTTTATTATTAATTCAGAAACGATACGAAGTAACTTACCCAGTTAAATAATATATATATCATTCGGATCATCTCTTTCGAAATTTATTGTTTATCAGTGATAAAACCAATACCCAAGCCTAAAAAATTTGTCGAGGTCGTGTGTAATATTTTTTGGCCGAGGCTGCACACTCTGCACTCGGGAAATTGTACACTTTGTGGCTAATTCGAGGAGCGAACAGAAAAGAAGGGAGCGGGACATCTGTCGATCGCTCTCGTTCCGCGCCAGATCGTAAACATTTGAAAGCCGGGACGCCGCAACAATAGATGTATTTATACGACCCCTTGGCTCGTGGATATTGCTTCGTGCACGAGAGTTTCGTTGATAAATTGCATTTCCGGCGATGACTTCCGTGTCGATGGAGCGCACCCCCTCACCGCCCTCCCGCCGCCCGTTATTCCAAACACTCGGCCCCGGTGGTTATTGTTGCGCGAAAGAAATTTATGACGTGCGTTCGACGTTCGTCGCGTTCAACCCTTTAACGAAGGGCGATAAAATCGGGATCATCCAGCGTTGTGACGTCGATATCCGTGCATCATTAAACCAACCAAATTGTCGCTTGTACATTTGTTGGTACACGTTGTGGGGGGAGCTTTAAGTGTTAGTATCGGAGTAGGGGTGATTTTGGGGATGGAGAATATGAAAAGTTAGAAGAGAGAGGCTTATGGCACGCGATTGTTGTTTAAATGGAATATCTAGAAAGTTTTTTATTTAAATTATATATTTTATTACAAGTTTTGTGATTAAAACGGTGTTTCAAGAAGAAACATTTTGTTGCAGTTTATTTGTAATATATATTATTTTATGGGTGTCGTAGTTCAAAACAGTGTTTCAAGAAGAAATATTTTGTTGTAGAATGTCTGGAAAATTATTTAAATTATGTATTATTTTATAGGTTTTGTTGAAAAGAACGTTTCAAGGAGAAATGTTTTTCTGCGGCAAAAGTTTAAAACACGATTGAACGATTGACGATATAAATGAAATTTCCATCATTTTGAAATTATAAATAAATACATATTACACTGTTGAGAAATAGTACTGTTTGAAAAATATTTTATCATCTCAAATTAAATACATATTATTTTACTTGTTATACGGTTGTTGATTTTAGTTATTTCATGGACGGTTATTCCAGATAGAAGGAAATGTTTCGTTGTAACCGAGAGAGTCATTTGTTTAAACATTTGTGAGAATATTTAAAGAATGGTTCTCACGATTGATTTTTCCATTTGATACTTTTCAAATAATTGTTGATCCCATTACGTCGATCAAAATTTTCCTCGAGCTTTCTCATCTATAAATTTGAAATTCGAGACGTACTTTTTGTTGTAAACTCCCTTAAATTTTCCCCCCTAAAAAGAAGAAAGAAAAAAAAGAAGCAACGAGTATATTCCCAGCGTCCAAAATGGTTCAACTCTACAAACGTTATTTATGGGAAAACGTGAGAGGAGTAAAAATACCTACTGCGCTCTGCGCGTCGTGACGCTTATGTATTACATATCGATAAAACAAAACAAAAATATCGCAATAGCGATCCATCTTTCACAAGAAATTAGTATATTTGAACTTCTTCCATCCTCCTACACTTACAATACTTCTATCGTCATATAAATGTGTTCGTTACTGACGCTTCTAAATTCCAACATACTTATTCATCGATCCAATTTGTTTACTCTCCTGTACGACTGCGAAATTTAAACAATAAACGAAATATCATACAAAAAGCCTGAAACCACGCAATAAGGGGAGCAGTCCTTCCGTAAGAACGGGACAACTCACTTTTCAACATCGTCAACGGCGTTGAAACAAAAGAAACTCGTAACATTCAAGCTTCCGCGACTTGCGAGATTTTAATAAAATTTAAGCTCCCTGTTCGTAAATAACACGTCCGGGGATAATTCTCTTTCACGAGGAGAGGAGATTTTCACCGGGCCGCTTGCCTTTTCTGTTGCAGCTTTGGGAAGCGGACGGGTGGCAGCGCCAGGAGACCCAACGAGTGCTTCGTTCTCGAGCCTTCCGAGATGATTGTCGTAAGTACTCTTTCAAAATAACGTGTTATATATATATATAATTATTATTATATATATATTATATATATATGTTTTATTATTTTATACATATATTATATATATATGTTTTATTATTTTATACATATATTATATATATATGTTTTATTATTTTATACATATATTATATATATATGTTTTATTATTTTATACATATATTATATATATATGTTTTATTATTTTATACATATATTATATATATATGTTTTATTATTTTATACATATATTATATATATATGTTTTATTATTTTATACATATATTATATATNTATTATTTTATATATATATTATATATATATTTTATTATTTTATATATATATTATATATATTTTTTATTATTTTATATATATATTATATATATATTTTATTATTTTATATATATATTATATATATTTTTTATTATTTTATATATATATTATATATATATTTTATTATTTTATATATATATTATATATATTTTTTATTATTTTATATATATATTATATATATATTTTATTATTTTATATATATATTATATATATTTTTTATTATTTTATATATATTATATATATTTTTTATTATTTTATATATATATATTATATATTTTTTTTTGTGAAAATAAATTCGCGCCCGACCTTTGCTTACTTCGCGCGATCGCGTCTCGCAACAAAAATTTGGTAAATTGGCGAAATTCTGCTCCGCGAATTCGTTTTCACTGCGAAAGTTTTCCCGAGTTTCACTCGGAGAAACGGAGAATGCTACCTGTCGCCATACCTCGTAACTTACTCGGAAAATCGCGCTTTCAAACGTTCTGTGCGATCAGGCTGAATAAACCCATGCTTCTTTTTTTTTTCTTCCTTTATTTGAATATTATTAGTATTTGTAATATATTTCGAGTGTTATTACTATTATTAGAATTTTTCTCTCTATTTTCATTATTTGTTGTCATGCTTTTTACTTAATAAATATTATTTATTTATTAAATATTAAATATTTTACTATATCAAATACTTTATAAATTCGTGTAATATTTTTTGGAAGCTTTTGATCTCGGAACACGTGAATTTTATTTGTATTTTGTGGAAGGTTTTTGCAAAATATAATTATCACTCGGGGACTTCTGTACATCGATGTCGTTCATCAAATGAAGAAAAGATTCAATATACGTGAATTAACGTGGTTGATGAAAATACTGAAAAACGTTATAATTCATGTCCAGGGGATTTAATTTTGTTCGCGTTCGTGATTTCTGCGTTATTTTCTGCATTTTTGCAAGATCAGCGTTCGGGATAGCTTCGAGAAAAAAAACTGTAAAAAGCTGGTTGAAGGAGTATCGCTTACAGGAATCGAGTCACCGGGCTAATTATACTCCATTACGTTAATTAATTGCAGGCAAAGTACTTCTACGTTTATAATCTTTCAACAGCTACATTTTCTCCCTTGGAAATGAGACTGTAATTCAATTTTAAACCCCACCCACGCGTTTGAACGTTCTATTCGCGTTGACGCGTACCGTGTTGACCATAATGTAAACAATAGTCTCAATATAATATAATATTCTCTCCAGCATTTTCACAACTGGAAATTACTTTTTGTAATTTCTTCTTTCTTTTTTTTTTCAATCACTTCAGAACGAACTATTCTGCAGTCGTTTGTTATCTTTTATTTTGCGCAAACACTCTTCGTCTCTGAGTTGCAAAATACTGTAGGGAAATTAATATTAATTTAATATGAGAATTATAATAGTTTATTATAAGTGTATTGGCTTAAGTTTAATATACTTTTATTGCAAGTATATTAGTATAAATATTTGTTTCGATGTTTTTGAATATTTTCAAATGCTTCGAAGTCGAAAACTTCTCGCCTAGAGTAGCGAGCTCAAGCGCGATCTTCTTCATTCAAGTAAATTTCATAATCTCGGCCTTGGTCGTAAGGATTCTTCAAAAACCACGCCTCGTGTGAATCGTTTCCGAGAGCAGAATTGCGACGACAATCGCAAGTCGTAGCGTCTGTTCTTATTTTGTGAATCCAAAATCGATAAACCTGCCATTATCATTTCTGCCATTGTCCCCTATTTCTCCAATTATTGTCGATCCGAAGCCAGGTTGAAAACCAGGGGAACTACAACTATCGACGAGTCGCGAATTTCTCTCTTTTTCCGACCGGTTTGTCCCACATTCGTGAAAACCCGCTAGCGTGCGCACGCTTGGCATGCGTTATGTTTCGCGATCTGGCCAGCCTGCTTGCCACGATTTGCTCGCGAACTATTCCGGACGCGGCAGTGATATCGCATAATGAAAGACAATGCTGTCCAGACTGGAGACGCAACGTGCCAGACAGTTAATCAATAGTTCCTCTCCTCCGGCGTGTGTTATGCACCGCATCGAGTTCCCTCTCTCTTTCTCTCTGTCTGTTTCCCTCTAGATTCGCGCCCCGGTGATCGCGATTACCCCGGACGATTACTCCGGATAGGAGGTGAATTGAAAAACTAAAAAGCCGAACGATCGGATGATCCTTTTGTTTTTGGCGGGTATATATAGGGGCGGGTTGCGTGATCGACTCGGCATTTGGGGGGGAAAAAAGGGTGCTCTTCAAAGGGAAATTGTTCGAGGAACGTGTTCGAATATCGGAGATCGAAGAGTTTAATATACTTTTATTGCAAGTATATTAGTTTTTCGAAATTTCCGATTGGGCTCGGACGGGAGAGCGGATTTTTAATAGACGTTGCCGTGTGTGATATTATCGAGATGTGTCATTTCTGAGATTAAGTTCCTTTCGAGACAAGTTTTCTGCGGGATATTCTGAATTTTAGAACCAAGAATGTGCCGGAGAATCTGTCGTGTTTGGAAAAGAAGGGAAATTGTTTGAGAAATGTAGAATATTGGAAATTTGCGATCGAATTCAGAGCGAGTTGATGAAAGTGCAGAGGATCAAAAATTTTTAAATAGACGTGCAAATTATTGAGATGCGTTTCTTTCGAGACAAGTTTTCTGCGGGATATTCTGAATTTTGGAACCAAGAATGTACCGGAGAATCTGTCGCGTTTGGAAAAGAAGGGAAATTGCTTGAGAAATGTAGAATATTGGAAATTTGCGATCGAATTCAGAGCGATAGTTGATGAAAGTGCAGAGGATCAAAAATTTTTAAATAGACGTTTTAACGTGCAAATTATTGAGATGCATTTCTGAGATTAGTTTCTTTCGAGACAAGATTTCTGCGGGATATTCTTAATTTTATAATCAAGAATGTATTATTTGAGGAATTGTTTGAGAAATGTAGAATATTAGAAATTTGCCATCGGATTCAAAGTAAATTGATGAAAGGGCACGGATCAGAAATTTTTAAGTAAACGTTGTGGTGTGTGAATTATTGAGATTAGTTTGTAAAAGATTTCCCGATTTCCGGGGGAAATTCTTAATTTTAGAGGATCAAGGAATCTATTATGGAAGTGTTTGGAAAAGAAATTGGTCGAGAAATATGGAATATTGGGGTTCGAAATTTGCAATTAAGTTCGGATGGAGGGCAGATTTTTAATAAAGGACGTTGTGGTGTTCGAGAGTCTGAGATTCGAAAAGATTTCTCAATTTCAAGCGGGAAATTCTTAATTTTAGAACCGGGGATCTATCGTGGCTGTGTTTGGGGAAGAAAGGAAATTGTTTGAATATTGGAAATTTGTGATCGGATTCAGAATGAATTGACAAAAGGGCAGCGGGATCAGAAATGAAATTAGTATTTAAAAAATTGATCTGTTTGCTGAAACATTCTCAATTTTAGTACACTGGTGACAATAAATTCTTAACTTTTGTGATAATTTCAACAATTTTTTGATAATGGCTTGGATATTTGAAATTCATCAAAACTTATCAGCAAGGATTCGACGTCTCTGTTTAACGATTTGCTTCCTTTGTTTCTAATCATCTCAAACAGCGAGTGAAATCAAGTGGTTCGTGCTGCCATCTACGACACGATCTTCTGTTTTACCGACCAGTCAGAATCTCAAGAATATTTTACGATTTATAGATCACTGTCAAATATGTATATACATAATAATCGTAAAATACAATCGTCAATCATTCTCGATTAATTTTCTAATTTAAGAGGAATTCAATAATTTTTTCAACACAATATAAGAATTCATTTTTCTAAAGATATTTCTTAAAGAATTATACTGTCAGATTCTTTCTTTCTCTCATTGTCATTAAAAGACTATCTCAAAGCTACAAATTAAAAATACAGAAACGTACGTTTTAAAAAATTTTCGTTAGAGTCATCAGTTTTATATTTCACGTCGATATTCTATTCTTAGTTAAGAAACTTCGTTCGCTAGATTTCGTAAATTTTACAGAGTATATTACTCCCATTATGTAACGTTTCGAGCAGAAAACCAGCGTCACGCACCATGACATTCTCAATGTACTGTTCTCGTAAACGAAACTCGTTTATCCCGGCCACGAATCCTCAAGTAGCCCGCATACATTCCGCTTTTCCATCTTATCGCGCTTTAATCCCGCCTTGTCTGAAACTCATCTTGGCTTTCTCTCACCGAACCTCACTAACGTTTGATACTTAACGCTTAATCTTCTAAGTACTAATGTCCGATATATATATATATATATATATATATATATATCTGAGAAAGCCGAATGTCCGATATATCGACGGGCTCTCTCTTCTTGTTTTGAGTAGCTTGAGTCTTTATTTGATTCGATTAACCTTAGAAAATATAGAAACTACAATAATTTATATGAAAACATGTAAAATTAAACATCGCCTGGCGATTTAAATCCGAAGGGGGATTTAAATACCCCGTTCTTAGAAGGTTAATCCTTCGCGAAACAGTGATTTTCAACTTTTGTTCAACCTTCACTCTCAGCAATAGAAATATATTTCCATGTTGTTGTGAATCTACAACAATCGACGAATTTATCGATTTGAAGTTTTGAGAAGTGACATCTGAGAAGTGACAAGTTGCGTGTTTTGGAAAT